ATGGCTCTGCAGCAAACTGGGGATTGGACGAGGGGTGCCTTAGGTCAAGTAAGGAAGGGGGTGGCCGCCTGGGTTCCAACGAGAGCCTCGCTGCTTGCAAGCTGAGTGACCTTTGGGCGTGTTGCTTAACCTCTCTGAGCCTCAGCGTGCTCAGCGCCAGAAGTAGGGAGAATTATAAGGTTGTAGAGGGGGATCCCTGGAAATAATGCCCGTGAAGCCCTTGGCAATGGCTGGCACCGGTTAAGTGCTGACACACGGGAGCCATCGTTGGCATACTGCTAATGATATTCTCACGGTAGCTCCACGGATTAGTGATTATTACCCGCCCCACCCCCACCCCCACTGCCTACCATTATAGGTGAGGCTGTGAGTGGTGAGGGGGCTTGTCCCAGGGCCTTTGGGCGGTAAATGCAAAGGCAGAGTTAGAATGTAGGTCCCAGACTCTGATCCCGGGTCCTTTCCTCTGTGTTTCACTCCAGTCGGGAGGGGGGTAGTAAGACGAGGGGGAGAGTGAACACCTAAACGTGGGGGGAGAAATGTAGACAGTCTGCCCACGCAAAGGCCTCAACCCAACTATAAATAATAACAGCTGATCTGCTTCTACGTATATTATTTTAATCGTTAAATGACCCAAAAGAAAATGCTTCTTTATATCCATTTTATTTTATTTTATTTTATTTTAAATGTTTAGTTTTGGGGGGGGGGGAGCGGGGGAGCAGAGAGAGAGGGAGACACAGAATCCGAAGCAGGCTCCAGGCTCCGAGCGGTCAGCACAGAGCCCGACGCGGGGCTCGAACCCACGAACCGTGAGATCATGACCTGAGCCGACGTCGGACGCTTAATGACTGAGCCACCCAGGCGCCCCCTTGACCCCCATTTTACAAATGGCAGCGTGATGTTCAGAGAGGATAAGAAACGTGCCACACAAATGTTCACCGAAGCCCTGATCTGTCAGGCTCCAGGGCTTGGGTCCTGTCCGTTGGGCAGGGCTGTAGTAGGTCAAGCTGGGCCAGGAACACACTGGGTCCCTGCTGGCCCCCAAGACCCCTTTTCCCATGGGTCACTCCCAGGCCCCCCGGGACACTCAAACCAGAAACTCCTGTCGCCCAGAAAACCTCACGGCAACCACCTGCCGCCTCCCTTGGCCTTTGTTCCGGAGGTTTCTAGATCCCTGCCCCAGCGGGAGCCAACTCCCTCCTGGCTTGTGCCACCACCCGCCACTAAGCGGACTGCAGGTCACAGCGGTGTGGAGGGGGCCTGCGGGTGCATCAGCGTCACGGCGTCCCCTCCTGGTGGTAACCGTGGCTGTAAGTCAGCGAGAGTCTCCTGAGTAACCCAGAAAGCTAGATCTAATGGTGGGGGCAGCAGGCATTTGGTAAGCAAGTGGGGAAGACATCTGGGGACAGGGGGGTTTGGGCATTCCTGAGATCATGCCAGGAATGACCTCGGGCCTGCGTGGAGACGCCATCCCTAGTTTGCAGAGGACTGTCACCAGCATCTGGAATTTGCCTCCAGCCCCTGTGTAGGGCACAGTTGCGGACGAGGAAACCAAGGGCTTGGCTGTGGTCCGAATCACGCAGCCGGTAAGAGGCAGACCCCCAGGTCCCAGCCCAGCCTTTTCAGCTCCTCGGGGTCCCTCTCCAGGTAACCATGAGGCAAGCTCTAGTCAAATCCTTGACCCCCCACCCGTCGCAGGGTCACTTGCAAGGTGAGGGGCGGGGGGCTGTGCGTGGCCCCTCCTGGCGCTGGAGCCCTCCCGCTAAGAGAGCACCCGGACCGGAGGAGGGCTTTCTTGTGCCGGCAAAACAGGCCGATTCGGGTTGGACCCAGCATCTCTCAGCAGGTCAAGAAGCAAAGCGAAAGTTTTGCTTCAGCCAGAAAACCCGGAGAGACGAACGGGCTCTAGTTCCCTCGGGTCTTGGGTTAAAAGCGCGGTCTGTGGAGGCCTTTGTGGCCTTGTGAGCCAAACAAGACATTTACTCTCTCTGGGTCCTACTGGCAAGGGAGGGCAAGTATATCCCTTCTTATAAGCCCTCCTGGTCTTTCTCCAGACACGCGCGCACACACACACACACACACACACACACAGACTCACACGCACATTCAGGGGGTGTATCTTGCGTCTACACCACTGGGTCACAGACTCGGACACCGCGGAACTGACCCCAACTGGCCTGGTTCGGCAGTTCTCAGACTACAGTCCTCTGGGGAGCTTTAGAACACATCAGATGGCCAGGCCACAGCCCAGAAGCATCGCTTCCCTGTCTCCGTGGCCCAGCCGTGGGCATCGTGTTCTTCTAGAGCCTCCCAGGTGACTCCAACGTGCATCCAGGGTTGAGAACCCGTGACCCTCAATTCATTTCTTCATCCAGCGAGGAACCCCAACAGAGTGAATTTCGGGGGGGGCACCCCAGCATTAGATACAGCATCCACATTTCCAGGCCTAGCTGTCTCCCTCCAGCTTTGCGAGAAGAACCCTCGCCCCTAAATTGCCCCGAGTGAGGGGCACGGTGAGTGACCATGAACCAAGCCCCCCCTCCCCTGCAGCCTTTTCGGGGGAGAGGTGAGCAAAACTCACTTCCTTCCGTGCTGATGCTGGGGAGGGATGTTTCTCAGGCTGGGGGCCACCGCGTACCAGAATTCTCCAGAGCTTACTGATATGCAGATTCCCAGGTTGCAAAAGCCGTACCCGGCAGGCCCTGCTGTATACGCAGCGGCTGTCCGGGCATCGGAAGACCAGGGTTAGCCCCAGCTCTGGCCCTGACCTGCTAGGTCACCTGAGCAGGCCCGGCCTCTCACCTGTGACCTCCTGCCCTCCGGGACAGGGTTCGTGAGAAGCAAACCTTTGTCTGGGAAAAGACTTTGCTGACTCTAAGGCGGTAGAAGGAGTTGATTGCATTATTATTACTGGGGGGGGAGGGGGTGGGATTTGTTATGTATATTCTGCTTGTCCTGCCCCAGCCTGGTGGCTCCGCGAATAAAACCTGGAGACGCTGTGAGTGCCGTCCTGCGGTCATCATGCGGGGGGCAGGGGGTGGGGACGACAGCTGTGTGTCAGTGAGGGTCTCTGGGCCACCTTTGGCTCGTCTATTCGACAGGGTAACGAGTGGGCTTCTGTCGCTGTACTGTGAGCCTGGCGGTTAATGAAACGGAGGTGTGGGAAGAGGCAGGTAGAGGAAGCTGAACACTTCTGAGCATTTGCTGCACACCAAGCAATCCCCTGGGCATTTAGAATAGATTAGTGCACAAAATTCTCAAAAACTATTATCCCCAAGAGAGGAGAATATGACAGTTCCGGACGAGAAAACAGAAACTCCGAGTTATAACCAGCCCGTAGGCACTCAGGCAGCAATGGCAGAGCTGGGGTTAGAGCTCAGGAAAGCCTGTCTCCTGGACCCACACTGTCCCCTTGTCCTGCCCTGTCCCCTTGTCCCACTTGGCCTTCGTGTGTGCCTGATTGCAGGACTCAGGAGGAGATGCCCACTTAGCCTGGTGACGGTGTGGGCTGCAATCCAAGCTCTTGCAGGTTCTTTGCCCTTGTGACTTCCGGGGATCACCCAGCCCGAACCCCTGGCCCAGGGCCGCCTTGGCTGTCCGGGAAGGATGAGACCATCTGAAGTCATTAGGTTTCCAACAACCCAGGGTTTCAAAGAAGGATAAAGATCAAAGGCAGAGGAGGTCAAAGAAGCCAAAGTCAGATCACCCCCAGATTGAAGCAGGAGGAGCCAGCTCCCCGCAGGCTGAAGTCTGTGGGAGGCCTGCCTGACCCCTCAACGGCCTCCCTGCCCTGGAATTGTGGCATCTGTCAGGTAGAGCACTGGGACGGAGGGCAGGCTGGACCCGGACAGAGATACACAGAGCAGGACAAGGGGACCTGAGAGAGAGCCGGAGAAGAGGGAGGGAGATGGAGACAGAGGGAGAAAGCAAAACACAGAGAGCAAGGCAGAGAAGGGGTGGGGGGAGACAGAGAGACAGAGACAGAGGGGAACGGAGAAGAAAAAGCAACCGAAAGCAAAACAAAAAGCCGCAGGCCTAGAGAGGCGGCGAGGCTTAAGAGGGTGTCAGAGGTGAGGGCAGGGGAGAGTCTGAGCGAACCCTGAGGCGGGGTGTGTGGAACTCGGCAGAATTTCCCCTGTGGAGCTGGCCCACCTTGGCCTCGCAGCTCGGCCTCTTGGCCTGGCCTCCTTTCCCTACACATGGAGGTTGGCCTGCTTTCTAGATGAAAGGCGGAGCCTGCCAGGCCGTCTGCTCCGTTTTCCGCAGATGCAGTCTTCAGAAACGACTTTCCCCTGCAGAGGCTGTGAACCCTGGCTGGAGGGCCTGGAGGGGGCTGGAGGGGGCTGGAGGGGGCTGGAGGGG